ACCGCTGTATTCGAATGCCTGGATTCATTTACATATGAATACTTTATGAATATTCCAACTACAAATAATATGTGCGCACATAAACCTTGATTATTATTTATGTAGTTAATTTATAAAAATATAAAAAGAATTAAAAATCTATGTTAAATAAAACTTGAAATATCATTTTTTGATACACAGTGTCACAGTGAGGTTAAATAAAATAACTGTTTAATAAAAAACATTTGTTGATTTTTATTTTTTAAAGTCTTATTAAAAAATTATAAGAAACGATAAAATAATGAAAAAGTTAAAATAAAATTCTTTGGTACACCGTCAGATAAAAACACAAACTTATTGTTTAATAAAAAATAAATAATTCCCATTACCTATAACCTATACTCTACAACCTACTTACTTATACAGAGTGTCCCACGAGATACGCCTCGGACCATAACTCCATAACGGTGCAATTTTCGGAAACTAATTTTAAAAGATGGCTTTTTTGAATATACATAAAAAAGGACACTTACAAAATTTTTGAAAATTGCACCGTTATGGAGTTATGGTCCGAGGCGTATCTCGTGGGACACTCTGTATAATAAATAAAACTTAAAATAGTTTCTTTGGTACATTCATTGGAGATTGGAACACAATAAGGTAACACAATAGAATTGCTTAGCAAAAGAAGCTATTCTTGAAAAATAATCTTAAATAATAAATTCTTTTTGTTTTAATTAAAATATAACATAATATTCATAACGACGCACTAGTACTTGGATATCAGAAAGAAAACATCAATCAAAAAGCATTTCCTATCCCGTTTGCCTTCAACAAAACCAACATTTCAAAAAGATAGCAATATTCATAGAAATAATCAAACAGTATTCGAAAACAGGATTCGAATACCGGGATTCGAATAGCAGGATTCGAATACAAAGTGGGTATTCGAATACTAGGATTAAAAAATGGTATTCTGAATCCAAAATACCGAGTACTGACTAAAAAAGTATTCAGTCGAATACCGAATACAGAAAACACAAATGTATTCGAATAGTATTCGAATACCAGCCAAATGTATTCTGAATACGATTCAGAATACCGGGTATTCGAATACTACCCAACTCTTCTCCCAGTACCTATTTCCGCTTTTGTTAATAATGGTACTACATGTGTAATCTCTATTTGAATGAGTATACTGATGTAATTTCGCCTGAACTTCAAGTCGTTTGTTTTTTTAATTATTTGTTTTTTTTTTTGTTTTTCACCCTCCGGACCTAGAAACTTAATAACCTTAGTACTTCCAGAAATATTAAGAGATATCAAAACTTAATGACCAATAACTTTTCGATAAAAATTTATAATTTCATAACAGAAATATTGGAAATCATAAAATAAGTTATTACCTAGATACTAAACAGAAAATTCTTGCAGAACAGAGTAATTTAAAACTCCACATTAAATTGATACATTATCCATTGATTAATTAACATTCCAAAGGTACGAGTATATCTCATAATCTCGTATTCATATCAATCTAATAACTACATAACCTACAACAAAGTACTTATTGATTGTTATTGATTTAGTGAGAGTATAATTATAGTGGGATAATTTTTAAACAGGATATTAATTTGCCGTATCATTGATTGTCAATGGTCATATCGTAATCATAAACAAGAAAATTACTAGTATAGTGACCTCTTTCTGATTGGTTTGCGTAAATTGCTTTTTGTGACAACCTATTTGTTATACTAGTGACCTCGGATGCAGTTATACTTTCTGTGTATAAAAGTGTAGAAATTCTTTGTATGATGCAGGATCTAACAAGATAATTTTAAATTTACATAATTTTTTATTTTTGCTGAAAATTACATATTAAGTTGTCATTAAGTTGTCAAACTTCCATGGCCAAGCACGATTAAAAAATAAAAGTCATGTACTTTATTTTTATTTTGTTTCTAAAATGAATGTTGATTTTATCTTAAAAATAATTCGAAATCTGAAAACTTTGTCTAATTGTTGAATTTTAACTATTAGATTTTTTTAGAGAAGATACATTTTATTAATATTTTAATACCTGTGCACTTTACTAATGCGTTTTTAATTTTGTCTGATAATTAATATTGTTAATTAATATTATTATTATTATTATTAGTATTATTAGGTCATAAAATATGATAATTATCTAGGAAGACATTCTCAGCTTTCTTGCATAATCTTATAAAATCGTGATACATAACCAGATTCAAAAACCAGTCTAGTTTCCCTTCTAGATTTCAATTTTAAACGCTTTTCATTATATAACTGAGTGACTGACACTTCATTTACAATTCAGTGTTTTTAATATTAAGTATGTAAAATGTTAATGCTCAATTATTTGTATCGAATTGGTGTTAACAATTATTCGGATTGTCATGTATTGAAAAATAAACGACAAGCCTCTCGCTCTTTAGAATAATTCCTTTAGTTAATCTTTTATTATTAATGGAGTATTGAAGTGTATAATCAGTAAGACTAACGTTCATTATTTTAGATACAGGAAGGAGTGGTGTTTAATAATAAAACAGTATTGCTCAACTACTTGCATTTAATTGAAAATATTTCTTATATAGAATTTTTTGTAATTAAATTAAAAAAAATGGATTAGCTTGATAGGCACATCGAAAGGAATTTACAAGAAAATGATAGATATTTATACGCGTTTAAATCTTAAGGTAATAAATTATGACAGTAGCACAACTATTCAAATATTGTCACGAGCTTAAATTTTCTACCACAAATATCTTTTAGATTGCAAATTATTTTTAAATTAAACATAAAATCAACAATCATTTAAAAAAAAAATTTAAAATAAAGTACATAACCTTCATTTTTTTAATCGTGCTTGGCCATGGAACTTAATACAATATTTTCAGCAAAAATTAAAATATAATGCAAACTGAAAACTATCTTGTTAGATCCTGTATCATACAAAGAGGTTTCTACACTTTTATACGGAAAGTATAACTGCATATGAGGTCACTAGTATAACAAATAGGTTGTCACAAAAAGCAATTTACGCAAACTAATCAGAAAGAGTTCACTACACTAATAGTTTCGTCTTTGAAGAAATAACACACAATTTAAGAAACTATTTAATTTATTGAAAATCAAACACACCTCGTCAATAATTATACATTTTTAAAAAATCGTTTTGGTAAACTTACCACATCATCTCATAGGCTCGGGGCACTTCACAATCTTCCAAAAACACAACAAAAATGTTGTTATTTTGCGGATTATTAATAATATACAAAATAGCTAATTACTTTTCTTAATTTTACTATTACCCTATTTTCTATAACGGTAGTCTATTTTGAGTCTCCCTTCTCGGTTATATCTTTACCAACGTACTAATGAAAATTCCTAGTTTTTTTGACCTGTTTGAAAATAGTGCCGACTAACTCACTTTTCGTAGTTTACCAAATCTATAATAATAATTTGTTTACATTTTTATAAGTCTATTGGCGAGTCAGCAGGACTTTGAAATGGCCTTTTAAATTGTTGTAAGTACTGAATAAAAATTGAATTGAAAATGAAATAATTTTGTTTGATTTAATCTAATGTTTTTAAATCTATTTTTAATCCTTTGATGCAATTTTTTTTATCTCTTTTTAAATCTTTTCATATCTTTTTATATCTTTTTATATCTTTTTATATCTTTTTATATCTTTTTATATCTTTTTATATCTTTTTATATCTTTTTATATCTTTTTATATCTTTTTATATGTTTTTATATCTTTTTATATCTTCTTATATCTTTTTATATCTTTTTATATCTTTTTATATCTTTTTATATCTTTTTATATCTTTTTATATCTTTTTATATCTTTTTATATCTTTTTATATCTTTTTATATCTTTTTATATCTTTTTATATCTTTTTATATCTTTTTATATCTTTTTATATCTTTTTATATCTTTTTATATCTTTTTATATCTTTTTATATCTTTTTATATCTTTTTATATCTTTTTATATCTTTTTATATCTTTTTATATCTTTTTATATCTTTTTATATCTTTTTATATCTTTTTATATCTTTTTATATCTTTTTATATCTTTTTATATCTTTTTATATCTTTTTATATCTTTTTATATCTTTTTATATCTTCTTATATCTTTTTATATCTTTTTATATCTTTTTATATCTTTTTATATCTTTTTATATCTTTTTATATCTTTTTATATCTTTTTATATCTTTTTATATCTTTTTATATCTTCTTATATCTTTTTATATCTTTTTATATCTTTTTATATCTTTTTATATCTTTTTATATCTTTTTATATCTTTTTATATCTTTTTATATCTTTTTATATCTTTTTATATCTTTTTATATCTTTTTATATCTTTTTATATCTTTTTATATCTTTTTATATCTTTTTATATCTTTTTATATCTTTTTATATCTTTTTATATCATCTTTTTATATCTTTTTATAACTTTTTATATCTTTTTATATCTTTTTATATCTATTTATATCTTTTTATATCTTTTTATATCTTTTTACATCTTTTTATATCTTTTTTTTTATATCTTTTTATATCTTTTTATATCTTTTTATATCTTTTTATATCTTTTTATATCTTTTTATATCTTTTTATATCTTTTTATATCTTTTTATATCTTTTTATATCTTTTTATATCTTTTTATATCTTTTTATATCTTTTTATATCTTTTTATATATTTTTATTTTTTTTTGAAGGTGTCATTTGTTTCTTAGTTGCCAGACAAACCAAAAAATAGGGAAAATCGGCTGTGTAGAAAAACATGTGCAACATAGAAAGAAGAAGATTTAAATCTAAATTATTGGATGTTCTATGACAGACGCGAAATTAACTAGAATAAAAAACTGATGAGAATACTTAAACTTTGAAGAAGAATTAAAAATATGACTAAAATTGGAATTTTGAAAAATATAACTCATCTACATGTTGAGCAAAATGAATACATTATTCTTATAACGCTTTATAAAACCTCTTTTTGGAAAGTTATTTAATTTTTTGTAAAACATCTGAAATTATTAATAAAAAATTAAAAGATACACTCGTTTTTTTGATTCCTATTTTTAGAAATGCTTTTAAATTAAGAAGACAAGCATATTTATCTTTCGAATATAGAAAAACATTATAGTTACACAATTACACCTAATTTGATATGTTTAAAGAATTCTTATCGTCTTTAATGCCAGATATATTTAGCAAATTGTATATGATCCAATTTCAACCAAATAATCTTTCAAATAAAACAAAATATTTAAATAGTAACATAATGTTTGTTTGAAGTACTTTACACATTTTATTGGTTAAAGCATTATATTGTTATTAATTAAATTGTTTAATTAACAAATTTAGTACCCAACGAAATATGATTGAAAACGCTTGTAGTGAATATAATTCATAAAAATGGAAATTTTTAAAATTAGTGGTGAAGAAAGAGAATCTCAAAAACAAAATGAAGATACTGAGCAAAGTAAGTTATTATTAAAAAAAATCTGGCTTGTATATTAAGATATGCATTTTATCAATATATTTTTGGTAAAGAATACTTGCTTGTATTACTGTTTTGTTTTGTTTAAATAGTTTTTGAGCAAACAATTAATTTTTTTTTTTAATTTGGTGTCATCGGCGTCGACTACTGCGGCCATTAGCCTCGTGTTCGGTGTAGGCTTTGTTACTGTTTCCCAGCGCCACTTTAGGAACAGCACTGTTAATTAGTACCCAATAGTGAATGGTCGAGTGGGGAATCCTACAAAGGCATCAGAATTAATTTTAAATAATTAAATTAAATGAAAAAATCTCGGCCAACGGTGGGGATTCGATCCTGAGACCTTCCGATCTCAAAGTCATGACTCTAATTACTGAGCCAACCCACCCCATGCAAACAATTAATTATCATTGAAGGTAAAATCTGGAGATTACGGTGGTTTGAGAACTATTTAGTTAATTTTTCATATATTTATTGGGTTATTCTATATATAATAAAAATAATAATAATAATAATAATAATAATAATAATAATAATAATAATAATAATAATAATAATAATAATAATAATAATAATAATAATAATAATATAATAATAATAATAATAATAATAATAATAATAATAATAATAATAATAATAATAATAATAATAATAATAATAATTAATAATAATAATAATAATAATAATAATAATAATAATAATAATAATAATAATAATAATAATAATAATAATAATAATAATAATAATAATAATAATAATAATAATAATAATAATAATAATAATAATAATAATAATAATAATAATAATAATAATAATAATAATAATAATAATAATAATAATAATAATAATAATAATAATAATAATTATAATAATAATAATAATAATAATAATAATAATAATAATAATAATAATAATAATAATAATAATAATAATAATAATAATAATAATAATAATAATAATAATAATAATAATAATAATAATAATAATAATAATATAATAATAATAATAATAATAATAATAATAATAATAATAATAATAATAATAATAATAATAATAATAATAATAATAATAATAATAATAATAATAATAATAATAATAATAATAATAATAATAATAATAATAATAATAATAAATAATAATAATAATAATAATAATAATAATAATAATAATAATAATAATAATAATAATAATAATAATAATAATAATAATAATAATAATAATAATAATAATAATAATAATAATAATAATAATAATAATAATAATAATAATAATAATAATAATAATAATAATAATAATAATAATAATAATAATAATAATAATAATAATAATAATAATAATAATAATAATAATAATAATAATAATAATAATAATAATAATAATAATAATAATAATAATAATAATAATAATAATAATAATAATAATAATAATAATAATAATAATAATAATAATAATAATAATAATAATAATAATAATAATAATAATAATAATAATAATAATAATAATAATAATAATAATAATAATAATAATAATAATAATAATAATAATAATAATAATAATAATAATAATAATAATAATAATAATAATAATAATAATAATAATAATAATAATAATAATAATAATAATAATAATAATAATAATAATAATAATAATAATAATAATAATAATAATAATAATAATAATAATAATAATAATAATAATAATAATAATAATAATAATAATAATAATAATAATAATAATAATAATAATAATAATAATAATAATAATAATAATAATAATAATAATAATAATAATAATAATAATAATAATAATAATAATAATAATAATAATAATAATAATAATAATAATAATAATAATAATAATAATAATAATAATAATAATAATAATGAATAATAAATAAAAAATAATAGTAATAATAGGGGGAGTGGCTCAGTGGTAGAGTCTCTTCCTGCGGATCAGAGGGTCCCAGGTTCGAATCCCACCGTTGGCAGGGATTTTTTTAAATAATTTAATTATTTAAAATTAATTCTAATGCCTTGGTAGAATTCCTCACTCGACCATTTACTGTTGGGTTCTAATTATTAGTGCTGTTCCTAAAGTGGTGCTGGGAAACAGTTACAAAGCCTACACAGAACACGAGGCTAATAACCGTAGCAGTTGATGCTGATGACACAAAAAAAATAATAAATACTCTCCCTAATTCACCCCCTTACGAGTGAATTTCAGGCCCTGAAGCCAACAGAGTGACATGTGTTGGGGAAGGGACGGCTATTATTATTTTCCATGGTGCTCCGAGGCGGCTTAAAGATGATTAACTTATAACTGAGGAAAACCCGAAAAACCTTACCTACCATCAGCAATATTGATATTCTAATTTAAACAAGTGTGTATTAATCACATGTCTTTATATTTCTTTGTTTTAGGTCATTCTCCTGCAAAATTTGAAGAAGCAATTGCTGCAACAGGATTTGGTAAATACAACTATTTTCTGCTGATGGCAGTTGCCGTTCCTTGCATAAATCAACTACTATGTACTGTCGAACTGTCGTATGTAACTCCTGTAGCACAATGTGATTTAAATCTAACATTAGAAGACCGTGGTGCACTGAATGCCATAACGTTCGCAGGTAAATACAAGCCTATCATAAATTATTATATATAATTAAAGTCATTAGTATGTTTAACAAATTAAGTGAATGTGAAAGAAATTCGTTTGCTAATGTTATGGACGTCGTACAATTTGCTGCTGTACAATCACCAACCGTCCCTTCGAATTCTGAAAAGCAATACACATCATTTCTGGTTTAATTTCAGTAATTTGTTCTCTAAGGAAGTCTTTTAATTCTTCTAGTGTTCTTTGTCGTGTTCTAAACACCAATTTATTTTATTAACTCTATTGACAGTAATTCGCTGAGATAAGATCAGGCAATCTTGGGGTTTACAAATCGTAAACCTATATGTATATGTTTGTGAACAATTTCCCAAATCAAGATGTTTATGTTTGCTGCTGCAGTTGACACATCTCTATTATTTTCCATAGATGCAGTTTAATCCAATTATTGAAGGAATTAAATTTCATTTACTTTTTGTTTGCTACTAGCTTTTCTTAAAATTATACATATAAGACCTTAAAGCGTAATTCTTACTTTACCATGATCTCATACTTGTTTTTTATTATATCAAAATTTAAGTAATCGTAATACCGTGTGTAGCGGGGTAGATAGGATAGCTCGGCCCGGGCATTTACTATCAGGGTGGTAGAAGCGCACTAAGTAACCACTTCCAAAAATGGGGTTATCCAGAGACAACTCCCGGCGATATTATTATATTATTAACTTGTAGTACATTGAAGAGCAGAGAGGATAACTGTCCAATTAACCTGTCGGCGACAACTAGTAGGTTTCTAAAAAGTTGGGAGAAAGATCATATATGGCGCTGGAGGATGAACAATGGGTCACTGAGTCCTGAGTGATATAAGGCAACCCGGAGAGGCTAGCCGCGAGCTTAGTGTGCATCCACTTACTCGCAACAGTTAAGCAGTGATCTCTCCGGTCACGTCGTGGATGGGTGACCGCTGGGAGGTTCCACCATGGGCCGTGTCACCATGGGATTCATCCGACTAGCGTTTAACCATCGACGACGTGGAATGAATGAATGAGGGTGTGAATGGGAAGGTAGTAGGACCTTCAAATGGTGGTACAATAAGCCGCAGGCTGCAGTGCTGCCAGACTACAGACGGATTAGGGTGTAGCACGGAAGATCTGAAGGGTGTAAAATTAAAAAAAATAAAAAAAAAGGCAACCCACCTGAGATATACAGATGCTGTCCTGTATTTAATAGCAGAATTCAGTTATCTGAAAAAGTGAGGAAGCTAACTAAAGATAATTCAGAATTGTAGATACTGATACGTAATTTCACGTATATAAATATGTTCGCTTTTTTTTAAATAATAGAATTCTACGACAAATAGAGATTATACATTATTTTTTATAAAATTACAAATACAATAGGTACGCATAAGTAAATAAGTCAGTTGAAAATGTTATTTACATAAAATTTACGTAAAATTTAAATATTTATAAATGACTTAAATAGGTGTACCAAAATCAAATATAGGATTTCTATTTGCAATATATTTTTTTTTTCAGATTTTTGAAGAAAATTTAATATAGTTCAGTGTCGGGTAAAATAAAGAAGTACACTTTTTTTTATTGAAATTAACATATCTCGGCATCAGGGGCCATTGACACAGGTACAATTATATTATATTACCAGAGGTTTAACAAAATATATACACTACCTATAGACAAAAAAAAAAACTTAATTCACAAAATTGGGTTCAGGAAAATAACTTATACTAATTTAAATTTGATTAAATAAATTCACATCTTTTAAAAAATTAAACATTTTTCCAAATTCACTAGGATATCTAAGGATACTAATGCTATCACTCAAACCATTCTTAGCCTGTTAAGTTTTAAAGTAAATGTAATCTTTCTCTAATAAATGATTGACCGTTTAGGTCCTGTTACAGTACAAACAAAGAGGTTGGGCTTCAGCAGACAGTAAATATTTATGGGTCAATCTCGTATGTCCAATTCTCAGTCTTCTAAGGATGGTACTTTCTTTTTTTGATAGAGAGGGCATTTAAAAATAGTGCAGATTTGGCTAAATTTTTCGAAGTTTTAAATTAGTAGTAATATTGTGCCAATGATTCTCCAACTGATTATGGATCTTTTGTCGGAATGCAGTTTTTAGGTCATTATCTAATTGGATATTATTTGGTGGTGGATTCATTTGAATAGCTCCTTTTGCGACACGATCAGCTTCCTCATTGCCTGCAATCCCGATATGAGAGAGAACCCAAATAAGGGAAACAGAAGTTCCTACTGAAGCAAGAAATTTGTAACAATCGTGTATTTCTTGGACCAAGGGATGTTGAGTATAAATATTTTTAATAGAGTAGATTGAAGAGAAGGAGTCTGTACATATAGCGACGTAGTTATCCTCTGGAGTTAACGATTTAAAAGCCTGAAGTATTCCATAAAGTTTCCCAGTATGAATACTGCAAGAAGAAGGTAGCAATAATTATTTCTGGAAATCATTAGAGGTGACAAAACAACCTACACCAGATTGATCTTTAGAAGCATCCGTAAATATAATTCTTTTAAATTTGTTGTAAATTATTTCCGTAAATGATTGCCTAAAGAATTCTTTTGGTGGGTTACTTTTATCGACTTGGCTAAGTGAGGTATTAAATATAGGTAACATTTTTAGCCAATGAGGACTTTTAGAAATGGGAAAAGGTATCGTTCTAGTGAGATCAATATAACCGAGTAAGGATTTTAGAGCCTGAAGAATTGAAACAACAGACCTAGGAGAAGTAATACTGGCGAATGTGTTATTGTTTGAAACCAACAATGAGAAAACAAGGTTTGAAGGGTTCACAGAGATACCAGCAGCATAGGAAAGAAGAAGGTTCTGTCGTCTAAGCCAAAGAGGGGGGATCTCGTTAGCTTCACAGTACAAGCTTTCTACAGAACTTGTTCTAAAAGTTCTGAGAAACAGTCTTAAGGCAGTGTTTTGAACTGTATTTAAGGATTTTAAGTTGTAATTGGAAGTAGACATGTAAATAAGACTACTATAGTCTAATTTTGATCTTATGAGAGCTCTATAGGTCCTAATAATAACACTTTCATCAGCACCCCAATGATGGTGAGCTAATACTTTCAATAAATTAATTCTCTTCAGGCTATCGCTCTTGATTTCTTCGATATGTAACTGCCAGGATAATTTACTGTCAAAAATGATTTGAACCTTTTTGTCGTTTACTAAATTTGATGACTTTAGATTTATTAGCTGAGAAAGAAAGACCAATATTTGAAGCCCAGACGGTCAGCCAATCCACTGCAGTTTGCAATAACCTGCAAGTTGTAACAATGGTTTTTCCATGACAGAACATGACGAGATCATCAGCATACATAATAGATTTTACAGGAGGATCGACACTCAAATTACAAATTAATATCGCTAACTGCTAAAATAAATAAAATTGGGCTTAATACAGATCCTTGTGAAACACCACTATTTTGAAAGTATTGAAGTATTGCAATTAGCTATTACTCTAAAAGACCTTTTACTTAAAAAAATTTGAATAAAATAGAAAATGTTAATTTCTGAGCCTTTGAATAATGACAGAATGCTGAACAGAATCATAGGCCCCTTCGATGTCAAATATGCCAGCAACCACTTCCTGTTTATTATTGAGAGCATTGGCTATACTTTTTAAATAAAGAAAATCATAAAATAGGGAAGCTCTACTGAATTGAAATTTCATTAGCGTACATTGTGCATCAGCCAGTGTCAAAGTGACTTTATCTTAGCTCATCAACCAGCTACTGTTATAAAATAGCCAATAATATCCATTTTTGGGGATTTTCTACTATTCTTCTTTTTTTTTTAGTTTAATATTGACTTTTTTAAATTTTTCTAGGACATTTTATTTTCCTAATTGTCTGCTATAAGTTCTCCTCCTTTTCAGGGTGGTTTGCCCTTATTGCATTATTATCTAGCTCTAGTTATTTCCTTAGTAATGGGCGCGTAGGACCTGTGTGGTGTAAATTATGTTCCCAAAAATTATCGCCAATTTTGCTATTTCCAGGCACAAATATTTCATATTATAAGTTAGGAAATATGATTTAGGAAAACTACGAAAACCTTAATTACGATACTGTACAGTAATATGACACTGCATTGCCAGCAGATCTTGGTGTACAGCTGTGAGTGGGGAGTTCTTGAGCGTCAGAGAGTAATCTTAGATTAGGTTGTGGGAGTTTTCTTTTCGGTTTGCGAAATAGTGTGAGGAACATGGACGCCGTGGGCACCAAGGAATTACTAGTTTGTTTTGGGAAGGTGTGTTTGAGCATTTCAGAGTGTGAAAGACGTATTGTTTCCTAAGGGTTTGGAAACGAGTGAGTATGGGGGCGTTGGAGATGTTTTCGAAAATTTCTCCGCTGGGAGAGTGGAAGAGAAGTCATTGGCATCGATGGAGTATACGTCTCTATAGTGTGGTGAGTTTGAGGACAAGATATGCTGGAAGTACGCTGTATGGTATCACTATGTACTCGCAACGGGGCGAATAAATGAATTGTATGTGTAAATTAAAGTGTTTGGGTTGCATCGTCCAAATCGTCTGCACAAATCTCCAAAAAGACTGGCTGGCCGTTGCATTTTGTCCAAAGTGTGTTGGAAATCAGAAAACTAGTTGAAAGTACGAGACAGTCGTACTCTCAAATAGTCAACTTTATTCTGTTAAGCATTAACATTCTGGGAAAGGTAGGTAGCTCTTTGAGAGTTTGAATGTTTTAGAATAATAAATTGTGTTTTTTTTTTGGGATTAAGTGAGACCATAGACCTGCTACATACATAATGTTTCAGTAGATTTTGGGATCAAGTACTTAGTTGTTTAGTGTTTTTGGCTACAGAGAGCAAAGCGGTATCATCGGCGTAAAGAAGACATTTTGACGATGGGTGGTTTGGAGGTGAAATGTCGTAGGTGTATGTGAGGTATAGGAGAGGGGTCAATACGGAACACTGTGGTACCCCAGAAAGTGGGGTAATTGAGTCTGACACGTGACAGGTCTTGCCCACTTTGACTGTGATAATTCTTTTAAAGAGGTATGAGTGTATGAGTTTAGAGATATTGAGGAGGAGGCCAATGTTCATGAGCTTTTTGACTATTTCAGTATGCCAGACTTGGTTAAAGACTTTTTTAACATTTAAAAGAACGGCTGAGGAGATTTGAAGAGAGTTTACTGCAGTGACCGTAGTAATGGTAAGTGTGGAGATTGCGTCCTGAGTGGAGTAATGAGGTATGAAACAATGTTAGGATTGAAAAATTATGTTTTGCTCTTCACGAAAGTCCCAGATTCTTTCCTTGAGCAGAAGTTCAAGGAGTTTACCTAGTACTGATATGAGAGAGATAGGATGGTATGAGTCTACGGATTTGCGGTCTTTGTCTGGTTTGGAAAATTAAATGGCGTTGAAAGATTCTCAGGCAAATGCAAAGTAAAAGAAAAGGAGGCAGGCGTTTAGGATTAGGGTAAAAATGAAAAACATGGTTTTGGGAAAATGTTTTAGCGTTCTTCTATGGAATTGAGCCTAGAGGCCTTATTTTTGGATATCTTGAGTGGTGTATGGGGCAGTGATGGGGTTTTTGACGTCCATTGGAGGGAGTGGAGTGGCAAGTATCTAATAGACGTTGAGTCTACTCTTTTTAACCTCATGATTTTTTATCACTTTCTCCTAAATATCTCCTGTTTGTATACAGACAGAACAAACCTGAAATCGATTATTTTCATATCTCAGAAGATAAATGTACATGCTAATTAACTTTCTATGGTCCAAAACACCAATTCTATGTCTACAATTATTGTTTTAAAATTGTTTTGATCTTCCATTATTTTTTTAAATATGAATTATCCTAGTATCAAACCCATGGAATAAATATTCATAATAATCAATAAAGTAAGAAAAAGGGACCAGTAAAAACTATATTGTGTAAATAAAAGAGATTACGGAAATAACAATAGTATGTGAAACAAACAAGACCCATGATAACTTATGGAGCGGTTGTTTGGTGACCAAAAGTAAACCAGAAAACAGCCTTCAATACTCTCTCAGGAGTACAGAGGCTGACATGCCTTTGTATTACAGGAGCACTAAGAAGTACACCGACAGCCTCTATGGAAATCATTCTTAACCTCCCACCCCTTGACCTAGTCATTAAGGGGGATGCCAGAATGAGTGCATACAGACTGGAACTCTTCAACAACTGGAACCCACTTGGACATATAAAACATACCAGAATAACATATGAAGTAAATGATTCCATATTAAATATGAGATCAGATCACATGACACCTCTCCTAACCTTTAACAGACTATTCCAGGTCAACTGTAACTGGAACGAGGTAAATAAGGAGATAGATAAATACTTGCTTAGCGGTCTCGTATGGTATACGGATGGATCTAAAACTAACAAGGGAACAGGCTCTGGCATACATGGAGTTAAACCCAAATGCGACATTATCGTCAAACTGGGAAAACATGCCACTATATTTCAGGCTGAAATACATGCAATCGATTTGTGTGTACGAGAGAATTTAAGAAGGAAGTTTAAAAAACAAACCATCCTAATTCTCTCAGATAGCCAAGCAGCCTTAAAGGCTTTTAATTCAAACAGAATCAAGTCAAAGCTTGTCTGGAACTACCTTGAAATACTAAATGATCTGGCAACCCATAACAAGGTAAAACTAGCGTAAGTACCAGGGCACAAAGGTGTCGAAGGAAATGAAAAGGCAGATGAACTCGCCAAAGAGGGATCAGATCTACCATTCACAGGACCTGAACCTGTATTATGGATAAGCAAAACCTCTGCTCGACAGGCAACGAACAGGTGGATAACCATAAAACACCAAATTCACTGGCAACAGATAAGAGGGACCAAACCCACGCATGGCTACTGAGGCACTACAACTCGCAAGGCTTCAGATTGTGGGATTACTAAGGGGGCACTGCTTGATGAAACACCTTCATGTGATGGGATAACACAATGATCCCATTACGTGTAGACTCTGCATGGAAGAGAAAAAAACCTCATACCATGTGATCTTCGAATGCGAAGCTCTTACTAGGTGACGTTTTATACTTTTCGGCCTAGAACCCAGGAACACTTGGTAGGGATTCTATTAAAACACACAAGACTATTCCAAAGATAGAACCTGAATACGGGGAAAGCAGGGGAATACAATAGACAACCGATAAAGATAAAGATGTGAAATATTAACAAAATAGAAGAGTCAGTCAAAAATCAATAAAATAGCATGGTGCTGGAATCTTTGGACCCAAGTCGAAAACAATCTAAGAAAATATGCAGTTGTATTCAAGACTGAACTAATAAATAAGTTAATTTAAATCTAATGTATTTTCGGTTAATTTTGTTAGGTTCAGAAAAAATGTATAAAATTTTTACCGAAAGATTGCTATTTAAGTTGACATTAGAGTTGGTATCATTTATTTTACTTTTCATATTCAAAATATATGTATATAGACCAATTATTCTCAAATTGTATAGCAAATGAAATATTTGTTGACAATAATAAACTCAGTTTTAAAGTGCTGTAATGTTAACTATTTTGTTCAAATATAACTTCGATTTTTAACCCTACGATTAGCAGGACATAATATTTTTAAAAATTTATCATTAAAACTAAAAATTGTAATTATTTAAGTATCTTGATAAAGAAAATAAACTTTTACCAAAGCTCGATTCTGGTGAGAGTTTTACTTAAACTTGGCCAATATTGACTGCATACCCCAAAAAATACACTTCTTCCTTAACATAGAGCTACCATATTCTTTATACATATGCAACTTTTTGTATGTATTTTAGAATTGAATACCTTCTACACTTACAGTTTTAGCATAAAAAAAATTAGTCTAAACAGTGAAAAAACGAGTTTTGGTGAATTTGGCACCTGCTACTTTTTGTAATTCTTAGCGTAGCATAGAGATCCTACAAGATGAATTGCATAAAATATTTTTAACTTCAATTTTTATATAAAACCTTTTCTAATATAACTCATCACTTTTGCGGAAACTGGTTTTAAAGAAAAACGCGTGAAAAAGTAAAATAGAACAATTTTCATTGTACCAGCATGCTCTAAACAAGGCCTGCACAACTCAGATTTTCAAAGGACGAGATTTGAGAAACCGTAACTGTACGAGGGTCGCCAAGAGTGGCCTGGTCGGTTCAGATTTCTAAAAGAAAAACAACACCTTTCATTTATAAACCAACTCCTGCTGCTAGTCGAGCTTTAAAAAAAAAGTCATCAGCTTATAATGTGTAACCCATCCTGCTGATCGAGTCCTAAATGCAAGTTTGTTACTGAAAATTGTATAATTTGACGTAGGCAGGCCAACGGGCCGCCAAAACGACACTAGCGGGCCCCATTCGGTCCCCCTGCTCTAAACTGCTTACCCTGCGTGTAGTAACTATTAAGCATTAGACTTATGAAAATGATAAATTTACACTATAATTTATTGTTAATATTTTAGGTATGATAGCCAGTGGATTCTTGTGGGGATATTTCTGTGATGCATTGGGCAGGAAAAAAATAGTTGTTTATGGTTATCTCTGTAGCGGTATATTTGGACTTATTGCTGCTTCATCTATGAATAAAACCACTTTAATAACTGCAAAGTTTATGTTAGGATTGGTGTAAGTATTTTTATTACAAAATCATAAAATTGACAATTATACATTCAACCATAATAATAATAATAATATAAATAATAATTAGATGTGCTGGGAAAAACCTAAAATGCAATATGTATTCTAAGTATTTACCAGCGATGTTGAGCTCTATGTACAGTTTTTTCTTTATGATATAATGGCTGATAACAAATGTAATGATAAATATAATATTTGTAGTATGAATGGTCCATTTGCGGCAACGACTTCTCAAATAACAGAATTTCATTCAACAAAATACAGAGGACTGGTCAGTATATCGCGAGGAATCTTTTTCAGCATAGGTAATCTCATAATACCACTTATGTCATGGGCAATCCTACCAAGACATTGGGATTTTAAAATCTTCAACTATTTTGGTAAGTACTAATATTCAAAGAACTTTTAGAAAACAATTACTTACACGCAAGATTACAGGGAGTAACAAAAAGATGTGCAATAAATTTAATTTTAGTTTATGGGATCAAAACTAAGCTGATTTAACTTGCTTACCTATATAAAAAATATATAGTAACAAACTTAAAGTAAACATTTTGTAAGTGATTTTTTGCTTTTACTATAAAATGGCTAAAAATATTTTTATTAATACAATGGAGTCAGTGCGTTCAAAATTATTTTAATTTTATAGGGTTTCTGCACCCCTTTGACCCTCGTACTTTTTTGAGCAATGAAATTCAGGTATAATGAGGATGCGACTAATATCCTTCGTCTACTGTGATTTTTTTGTCACAGTATTTGTTTGTAAAAGCCTTAATTACAGAATTAAAGGCCAATGAAAGAAGGTAATAATTTTTCTATTGATCCTAAACCACAAAAAATTCCCTTGTAATATTGATTATTTATGAAGTTGTTAAATGTTAAAATAAATCTTAAACAAATATTCAGTAGACCAATAGAAAAATGTCATTGTATTTTTCACTACTAAGAGCCAAACAATAATTTCAAACAGATGTAGGATTTCAGTGGAATACTGTTTTTAACTTAATTTCATTGTCTAAAAATGTAGTTAGTTTAAAAAGGTATAGAACCCCTCTATAAACCTATACAATTAAAACAATTTTGAACGCCACTGACTACATTTTCTTGGTAACTTTATACTTAAATTTTATGTACATTCTTATAAAAATATGTTAAACAGTTTTAGAGTAAGAGCAAAAAATCACTTCTAAAATATATACTTTAAGTTTTTTACTATCCATTTTATACATAAACAAATTAGCTTAAATCGACTTATTTTCGACCGCAAAAACTGTGGTTAAATTTACTGTACATCATTTTATTATACCCTGTGTATAGTGGAAGTCACTTTAATATGCTTTTAGTTAACGCTGGAGTTACGCAGTGCTCTGCGCCAGGCCTCCTTTTTCCATTTGTATAAATGTCCTTTCTGTCGACATCAATTAACGTCTTTTTATTCATCCTTTTACCGACAGTAATAGTAAACTTTTTTTAAAGAATTTCACTCTTGGAACGTATTTTTGTTAATGTGTACACTATCTACATTTCTAAGTAGTTTAGTGTACACGTTTATACCGGAAAGTCCAAAATTTTTAATGACTGCTGGACGAAATGATGAAGCCTTAAGGATAATGCAGAAAGTGTTTTCTGTCAATACAGGAAAACCCATGGAAGAATTTCCGGTAAGATATTTATATTTTGAAGCAATTTTTAAAAATATAAACTAATTTAAAATATACTTTGTCAATTTTTAAAAATTAGATTAGGTCTGTTTTAGATAAAAGCCTTGGAAGAGGAAGTAATAAATAATCCAACGAAAAAAGTGACCGTTAACAAAAAACTTAAGCAAGAATTAAAAGAAGTAGTCCATATATTTCATCGACCACATATTACCAACTTGGCATTAGTATGTTTCAATGTGTTTACTCTGGTTATGAGGTAAATTAAGCAATTTATACGAAAAAACAGTATCATCATATCTAAATGGCCTGATTTTATAAATAGTATTGTTTCATCTTTTTGTTCACAATTCTTGAAAAAGATGACGTCAATATTTACAATTCTTATTTTTGGATATAACTTTCAACTAGTAACTATTCTGTTACTACCGCAAACCATCAGAAAAGATCAGAAACCTGTATCTGCCTAGATTAGATTAGATTTAATTTGGACTATGGGCCATGTGGCCTGCTTCACCTTTTCAGATCTATTGTGGATATACTTGAATCGTTGTTTAGAGTACCATGTCAAATTTGGTCTTTTGTAGTAGAATTCATAGACTGGAAAAGTTGTTCTCCGGTACAGCTAGTTGCCCTTGGTTTTTCTTCTCCAAGTGTAAGAAATCTCAGTTTTGCTAGACCTTCGCAGTAGCACAATACGTGTTCTGCCGTTTCATCCTCTTCCTGACAGAATCGGCACAAGGTCTCTTCTGTCATACAGATATTATACATATGTTTGCTAAGCCTACTAGTACTCTAGTATTTTTCCAATTAAGGCTTAGTAGATGCTCGGTGAGTTTAGGCGATGGTCCTTTTAAGAATACCTCTTAAAAAAAATATAATGTGTACTGATTTATTTTTATTGGCTGTTAGCTGAATGAATGGTTGAAATGAGGTATGCCAAAAAAAAAAGAACGAAAAATGGAATGACAGTTGGAGAACGAGAATTTTTGGGGGACTGGATGAGCGATTTCAGCGTTGGGTTTTGGCGGGACAAGTTGGCCGAATTGTTGGCGGTGATTAGTAAAAAAAAAGAATATCTTTCTTTTTGTGGCCGTCGTTGTGCGAGATTTGCACCCCAACAAAAGGTATACCTTTCCTGTGAGGAAGCCGTCTACCGATAGTTTTCGTTACGGAGACACAACCGGCGCCGCCATCTCGCAAGGACCCCGAAACGCAACGTAAGAGCACCGTAATATTGAATTGTTGTATTAAGGAATTCTTTGACCGAGAAACAGGGCCTACACTTGGCCCCAGAAACTGTGAGAGGCTACCCAGCCACTGGAGGGAGGAGAAAGGCACCCGACGATCAGCCCTTTTGGCGAAGTACCATGGGACCAGATGTGCAACGATCCAGAACTCTAAGGTCACACTTTTATTTAATTTATTTTATTCAGTCAAAGTATAAGTCTATTGTCTACGGTATTGAAGCCATGTGCCTATTATCCATTCTGTTAGTAATAAGAGGATTTAGTAAATGGGCGATCCCATCCTCTAGCTTAACGGGACTTTTATTGGGATGGTTATTTTTTTTTTAATTAATTTTTTTTGTATGGCAACATAGGCATCTGTAAACTTTCGGCAGATGCCTAAAGGGGATATTCATATGTATGTGGTTATAGCGGCCTATGCAATATCTGTTTTCATTAATTTTCATGTTCTGAATTGATTTTATACTTTGTAAGTATTGCGTTTTGGTTTATTGGTACTGTATACCAGAGATAAATATTAGTTTTAAAATTGTGTTTGATTTCTCTTCTCTTAGGAGAGAAATCAAATTATTTTATTAGTTTTTTTTTTGCCTTGTCACAGGCATCATTTGTGTAGCCACGCCTTGTTTACAGCTCTTTACTTGTGAATTTTTTTTATTCTAATGCTATGCCTAAAATAATGTATATTTCTACTGAGAAAAAAATTAAACGTGGTCACCTTGGAGTTCGGAGTCAGTTTTTAACCGACTTCAAAAAAGGAGGAGGTTATTAATTCATCGCAATATTTTTTTTATGTATGTTTAGCGATAATGCTTTACCACCTTGTCCGATTAATATGATTCTTTTTTTGCTAGTAAGGGACTACCTAAGGAGTGGTTCCATATAAATTTGGTAAGGATGTGGTGATGGCATCTGCATCGTGTTTTCTTTGCGTACTCTCTGACAAGTGTTCTAAGGGTGGGGGGGTACGTAGCACTCTTTGGCCTGTCTCTGTCCTGGAAAGTTTGTCCTCCACTCCTGAGATTTTTTAAACATCCACTGCGTTATGCATGTTCTGACAGTTGTTTTTGTTACACCACAGAAGGGTTCTGGGCCAATAAGAGCATTTGAGGTTCCTTCTCGGGCAAGTAAATCAGCCTCTTCATTGTTCTTATGTCCTCTGTGGCCTGGTACCCAGGCTAAGGTTAGTCTGTTCTATATATGCCTAATCAAGAATGGGCTACGTATTGTAACAGGGATCCTTACTGGGTGGGCATTGCCAACTCAAAAAACACCTTAGTAAACTAAAAGAAATGGAAGATAGTGAGTGCAGATTTTTTAAGGAGGAGGAAGAAACCTCCTTTCACATTATGACCGAATGTGTAGCACTCCAGAATTCAAGGGCACTCTACTTAGGAGCATATCAAATAAAAGAGGGGATTCACCCAACAAGAAGCAACTCCAAATCCTACTCTTCGTTAAGAAGATAGGATTGGAAGGATCGTTACAGGCATAGAGATATTTCCTTGCTGCATTAGTGACAGAAGGGGGTAAAATAGATTTTTTAGATCGCAGTGTATTAACATCCCATCCGCAACATAACATATTACTTTAATAAATGCTGTTACTGCCGCTGACCATCAGATCAATAAAAACGTTTCGTCTAAAAGATATAACGAAATTTAAAATATAGGTAATTTGTTGAGCTTTCTTTTTCAAGTCATTATCGTTTTATTGTAAGTAAGGATCCATTTTTATTTGTGTTTTTTATCTCTAGTTTAAATACTCTTAAGCTATGGCTTCCTGGAATATTTCAGTCGATAAGTGATTACACAAATGTCCACAATGGTACTGGTGCCAGTATGTGCATAATGTTGGGAGAGATGATTCCTGTAAATGTATCTTCTACACAAGAATGTTCAGTTGTAAGTAAAATTTAAATAATAATCAAATACTACCATTCAAAATGCGTGCTTAATATTTTAAAAGTATGACTTAAAATAGTCAACATATAGTGGAAGAAAAATCTGAAAACGATCAGTTATATCAGGATTTAGGAACATTTTGGGGAAATTTGTACTTTTGAAAAATAAACGCTATATTTTTTTTATCCTTCGACTCCACGTGCCTAATGTGCGACTATTTCAATGTCTGAACAAAAATTTTAGGTAATTTTTATGGCATTAACTATTTTCTGCAGTCGGTTATTTTACAAAAAATTGATTAATAGAACTATACGAGATAAATTACCCCGTCCTAACCAAATTGTATATTTATTGTAACCAAAACAAGTTAAAAAAAACTAATCTGATGATAACAAAGATGTCTTCGATGCATAAGAACGATCAAACATAATTTATTATGTTTCAAAATGGTCCAAATGTCCAATTAGTTGGTATATTAAATTTATTCTTGGTTTTGGTTATTTACATATAATTTATATTATTTTCATGAAAAACATCTTTCTTGCCTATTAGGGAAGTTGTCATTATTGTCAAAACAAAACTTTAATTTTTTTTAGGATAGAGACAATATATCTGTCTACATAAACACATTTATAGTAGCCTTTACAAGAATACTTGCCTTTGGCGTATCTGGTACATTTCTAAGATTGCTAGGCGTTAAAACCATGAACAGTAAGTAATATTAATAGTAGATAAAGTTACTGTCAATAAGTATGATATAAAAAAAAAATAGGTAACAGCTAATTTTTTGTTTGTTTATACAGTTTATATACACAATACAATTTTTAGTAATAAACATTATTTTTAATAATTCATCTCTGAAACAAAGTAAATATTTATCCGTTGTAAAAATTTCAACAGTTTTGACAAAAATGTCCAAAGTCAAACAAGAACAGTCTTAAAAGTTCTCTAGTGTTTTTTTTTTATTTATCTATGAACCTTTTCTTATACATGCGAAATGTTGAGGGCCGCTATAATAGGCTAGACTTACCACTAAATAAAATATTTAAATATAATATTTATTATATTAATGCGAGTATATATTATTTATAAGTTTTGATTTATAATTTGATATACAAATTCTGTAACCCATAACTTTTTACCCTAGGTCGAAAATTTACCTAAAAGATCGGCAAACAGAACGACTAACATATGTTCGACTAAATTTTCAATTCAATAAAAGACCTCAATTTTTATTATTATTGCTGATATATTAAAAACCTCTTTAATCTCTTCTCGCATATTTGGATAAAATCTTAAAGAAATTTTGATTATTTTTTAGTTATTTGCTGTTATATTAGCGGAATACTTATGTTATCAATATATTTGGCATACGACGAACTTATAGTTACTATTCTAGCAGCAATTGGAACTAGCATAGGAAGCGTAGGAGAAAATATGCTAATAATGCTTACTTTGGAAATGTTTCCAACTAATTTAAGGTACCGACACTTGTTTCACTTATTTATATTTTTAAAATTAATTTTAAATTTTAAAGAAATAGAAAAATAATTATTACAGATATATTTTGTTGCAGGTGTAACTTTATCACCTTCTTGTTCTCTTAACACCATAATTTATGGTTTTTGTATTCTGGTCTAGTTCACCTACTTTCGATGGTATCTCTTTATCAAATCTTTGGAATTATTTTTCCTTTCTTGAAACTACAATAGTCTTTCTTTTGTTATATTTCGTTGACATTTTCAAGGATAATATCACAGGAGGTGAGAATTTTTTTTTTATTTCTTTGGAAGTTTGCCTAATTTACAAGGAAACAACAAAATTTTCTTACCTCACGTGGTGGTTGGAAATATTATTTAACAATGCAAATAAAACTTTTATAAACAAAATTTTCTGTTTTCGTGAGATGAAGTCGAAAGTTATGTCAATCTCCAACCAAAACGATTTTGTTTTGTCTATTTTTTGTCATCTTTTTGACAAACATTGTTGTTTCGCCGGATTGGGTAAAAAAATTGTACCATTCAGTGTTTTCAATAACGTGTTATTTTGAAAAGATAGATATCACCATTTTTGAAAAGATAGATATCACCGTCCTCTATAGTCCATCTCTGATAAAAGCATTTTTTTTTATTTTCATTGAACAAGGTTGATACCATAATATTAGATTGGATATACTTAGATTACAATTCTTTAGTTTTACTTAAGATGTCAGCTAAAACGTTATGTACTCTTTTCTCTGTCATTCCTATTAAAGTGTCTGATATTTCTTAATTATTACTTAAATTGGTAAGTGAATTTGTTTTTATTTTTAGAACTATTGCCATATCTATACACTTTACTTTGGGGCGAATTGGTACGCTTACAGGAAATATTGTTTTTCCATACTTGATGCATTTGGGATGCTTACCACCATTTTTATTTGTTGGAGTATTTGCAATGGGTAAGAACATTTAATTAGTTTTTTATGAAAGAACTTATTTCAGCTGTTGATGTTAAATATTTCAATTCAAGTGATTACAAGGATGTCCAAATTTGACTTTTCGATTTAAATTGGCTGCTGTTTATACAAATTATGGATTGTTGAGGTATTGTATACAAATAGTGTCCCTCAAAATTTATAAAATTAATATGGCGCTTCTGAACTAAAAGGAAAACATCCAGAGGGTACAACCAAAAAAGTAAAAACTACACCGTGAAAAGTGAACTTATAATCGTAGGGAAAATTTGACAAATAGTCAAATTTTATTGTAATAACAATTATTATATTAAAATGGCGATAACATGTGCAATCAGAAGCTGCTTAAGTGGTAGCAAAAGTTTAAACAATAAAAAAGACATGCCGCAGTCATTATCGCTTTTCAAAGTCTTGGTATGTGTATACAGAGAGATGGAGAAGATATATTTATGACGAGTTTGTCCTATTTGGTACATTTCAGTATATTATGTACTGTATTGCTGGACAATAATGGCGTTTTGCTGGACAAATACATTTTGCTGTGCGTTTGCTGTACGAGATAAAATGCTGAATAGACTTTGACAATATTGTACAATACAGCGAAATTGATACCTAAAAATGAGCAATTACGATTAGGCCTAGCAAGAAGAAATTGCCAAAAATTTGCTGGTGTGGGCTTTTTCAAAGTGCAAATAAATATATAAACAAATATAATAAACAAAAAATAAAATATTATAAATTAAAACTTATAAAAAAACTATAGGCAAAACTTTTTCTTTCTTTGTGCTGGAAAGTAATCTTGCTTCAGTTTTCTATTTGACTTCGACGAATTGTTTTACTAACTGTGGCGCATCACTGACAATGCCATGGGCTAAACTGCTTTACTGGGTGCCTGTCTGCAATAATACCTTTTAGTGGTGCCCTGCTTTTCTTCGTCTAATTTACATATGGATGAGTAATCTATTTAACTATATATGATTGGATTTTTCCCTTCTAATACACGAGCACCATCTTAATTTTATACATCTTGTTGGACAGTTTTTGATATAAACAACCATATAAGATTGTCCTCCTTTCCTCTTCACTTCACAATACAAAGTTAAGTTGACAATTTTACTATAGTGACAGATTCCAAGTAGGAACGATTGTCCACTGAAGAACTCCTATTTCTTGTGAAAAGTCTGTATTCAAATGGACAATATTTGGCAAAACCTGCTAAACTTATTGACAATTTTATTAATAAATTTTATCAGTAGAAGCTAACAGATAACCTATTTTCAATGATGGTACGCTGTCAGAAAAAAACATTACTGCGGCAAAGCATAGTGTTGATAAAACCCCAAAAATGTAAGTTTTTAAACGTTCACAGCCAGTCAACTTTAAGGGTCTTCATAAACTTTTAAAGAAAGATTATTTTTTAAAAACTTACAAGAAACATTTGAACCAAAAAATTAACTTAAACGATGACGTATTACGTGTTAATTGATATATAACGACGAAGTTTATTTCAAAATTTGTGAATACATAAACAAGCGGAATTGCAGAATATGGAGTAAGGAAAGACAAATATTGTAGAAACTACTGTATCCATAAACAGGTACCGTATCGTGCGATTTTTGAGCGAGGGGTGTGACTGATCCCTATTCCTGCCAGAATGAAGTTGATTATACGGTTACTACGAATGGAGTTGAATAGAAGACAATAAATGAAATATTATTTCTAAAAATATGTGGTTTTAACTCTTGCCATAAAGCAAATAAAACACACCTTTCAAGGGAGAGAATTGGCTAAAGAATAATTTCTAGAAGAGCTGACCTTAATTAGCCACCAAGTTTTTTTGATATTGCACCTCTAGATTATTTTCTGTAGAGCCTTTTAAAGTAAAGAGTTCATGATGACAATCCTTAACCAGTCACACATTAAAAAATAATAAAATTATTATTAAATTATATATTGGAAGGTCAAATATAGACCTAGACACCCTTTATTAATGAAATGAAATCAACACTTAAAATAGTATTTTGCGAAGGGATTAATAGATATTAATAATTATTCTGGCTACACGATTCCTATAAATATTCATTAGTAGTGAATATTATTAAATGATAGTAAAAATTAATACTTCTAAAGATTATAATAATTTTTCCTACGACCACTTAGGAAAGTGACACATATCACACTATGTGGAAAGTGCCCTATATCACACGCGTATGAATAAGAATTTTCTTTCCGCCCATGTGCGAATATGCTACTTTCGCATCAGCTGTCACAAAATGTCAAACACATCATTTCTATTTTGATCTAGGTATTGTCCGTATTAATACTAAAATCGATATGATTGTTAAATTATTGAAATTGTTGTAAATTAGATCCTAGATATTTATCTTTAACAATTATCATTAAAATAATTTTAAAATAACTAAGTTATGTTTGCTTTTTATTCTGGTTAAACACATATCCGAATATATCATTCAATTGACGCAATGCCTATTAGCTTAGGTGGTAACAGTATCAAACTTTATCAACTTTGCCATTTGAGACCTGGCGAGCGACCGCGTTCAAATTCTTACGGGGGTAGAATTTTTTTTGTTTTTTTTGTTTTTCAGTTTTTTTGTTTAGAAAATATAAAAATTGAATAAATACGATTATTGTTCATTATTTTTTTAAATTCATTTTAATTATTATAATAATAACCTGATTTTACATTTTTTAATGAAATTATTTTGTGGTCATAGGAAAAATATTGTACATCACTTGTGTGAAAAGTGATTTTCCACACACGTGTGATAGTCGCACTCGGCTTGTGCCTCGTGCGACAATATTTCCCACTCGTGTGAAAAATGTCACTTTCCACACTCGTAATTTAATATACTATTTAGTGCTTTAGCCATAATTATTGACTTTAAAATAATCACCAAGCTAGCTGTCAATGATTTAGGGTTAAAATAGTTTTTATGTACCTACTTCTTCGAGTTAAAGTATATTTAGACCTATAGTTCCTATTTTTAGAGAATAAAATGGCTTTTTTAATACCTAGTGATTAAAAATTCTTTTAGTCACTAGGGATTAAAAGAACAATATACTTATACCATACAATCGAAAATACAGTTCGAAGTACAATATACGTCAACACTATATAAACCTTTGTTATTAGAGTAGCATTAAGTGGTTTTTCAAAATTTTTATTTTTTTTTTGTTAATTTTTTATTTTCCTAAAGTGCATAAAATATCAAACAAAACACGGGACTGAAGTGTCTTTTAATCCCTCGATGAATTGTAGCTCTACCCCCAGTCGAAATACTTACTTTTCGATTCGAACTAAAAAGTGCCATTTCAGTCTCTTGCTGTATATTATAACACATTTCTTTATAAACGTCAACGCCAAAAATATCACTTTTAATTATTGTTACTTGAAAATATTATTTTAATTTGTTGTATTTTATTTGTATATTTTTAATATGATTTTAAAAATATTGTAAATATTGTTTCTTTTTTTTAGTTTGTGCAACTACGTCGTTCTTGTATTCCAGCATTGAAAATAAACCTTTGGAATAAATTGTGATACTTATATTAAAACAAAAATTGAAATTTCTTGTATTTTATTTTTCCTTATTTTAACGAAAATTATTTCAGAGTTTTTTACAAACATTCGTATTAAAATTTTAAACGATTTCTGGTATTAAAAATTTGGTTTTTCCCATTAAGAAAATATAGATTGGTAGTAGTGTATTTTATTATATCTCGACTAACATAACATCTGTGTTATTACTAGTGTTACGTATAAACAATTAAAAATTACAACATTAACTTCTAAAAATTATCATCATTGCTAATAATAGTAACAAATCAGTGGTGTATCATTAAATTTGTTTATATTGATAGGGTATTTATTACTATCAATTTTGAATATCTCTACTTTGGTTGGGTTCAGACTTATGAAAACAAGTAACAAAAATAAATACCAAATAAAATTTTACCAAAATGTAACAAAATAAATTCTTCATTGTCTTCTCTACTTGTCCACTTCGTCTTTTTAGTTTTATGTCTTTTGTAATTCCGGCGCCCCATTTGTTCACTTCTTTTTTTATTTTCTTTCTACTTGCTCTGCTTCCTATTTTTTACTGCACCTCTCTTTAAACTCTACTCAATTAACTGCTAACCTGTTCTGCTTCCTTAGCTCCTTTTTCAAAAATACTTATTTTCTTATCTTTTTATCTCCAACTTTTTTCAATCTTCGTTTAATTATATTCGTCTTTTATATCTATATCTTTCTCTATATCATGTAACTTCAAATTATTTACAAATTAATATTAATTACTTTTTTAAATTCTCTTTTACGCTGACAATCTTCAAAACCTGAAAATAAAAATCCTCACTCCAAATGCTCTTTTCATTAATTTTACTAATCCAGTATCGATATACAGAGTTGGTCAAAATTAGCGGGATACCCGATTTATGAATAAATTATGGATTGTATTGAAAATTAACCCGAATAAAGTTTTTTTTATATTTTATGCTCTATTTAATAAAGCTTGTTGGATTTTTATCATCTGTCACATTTATCACTTTAAATTGATATTTTTTTTCGGATAGATCTTTTTCTTTGAATCCATCAATGTAGGGCTTAAGGGTCTCTAAGTTCATATTAAGTAGAAAGTAAGCATTTATTTAATAAAAATTATTAAATAATGTACATCAATCAAAGTACATATATCTTTCAAATTAAGTTTTCTAAGTGAAAGCCTCCAACTGCCTGACAATATCCTAGTCTATCAACAAATGAACTTTAAGTATTTTGATAAACTTCAGGTTTTATTTCTTGATCAGCAATTTTTATTTTGTCTTCCAATTCTTCTAGAGAATATGGCAGGTCTTTATAAACTACTGATTTCAAATGGCCCCAAAGTAAAAATTCAGTCGGTATTAATCCAGTGAGCGTGTCGGCCACTTAATATTGTGTTCAGGTACTGTGTTACTCTAGCATCGAAATTAGGAGGAGCACCATCTTGCAGGAACTAAATTTTATCCGAAAGTTCTAAGTAATTTTCATGATATGGAAATAAACGAACTAATTCTGCTCTTGAAGAAGTTGCAAACAACGATCATCGTTCAGAGTTCCTCTCATGAAGAATGGTCCATTAATTCTTGCTCTAACTAAACCAGTCCAAACATTTAACTTTTTAGGTTATTTGGTGTGACCTACTTCCATCCTGTGAGGATTACGTTCAGATTAATACCGGCAATTATGTTTATTTACAACACTGATACAAAATGTTGAGTCGTCGGAAAAAACAATATGACATTTATAATGTCGAAAAATGAAAACATTGCAAAACAAATAAAATATGATATGATATCAATATGATAGCACAGACGACTGCTTAGATAGTTATTCATTAATTATTCAAAACAACGTTTGCCTTTGTGTTTTATTATTTTCTTATGATAAGTTAAGTATTAATTTAAACAGTACCTACGTACTGAATATGATGGGATTATTTTAAAACTAACACTATTTTTTAATGCAATAGTAACAAAAATAGAGTGTGGAAAAGCCAAATGGAATAAATTCATTATTTCAATTACTGTACATATTTATAGAAAATCCCGAAACACGTCAAATTTAAATTAAAAATTGATATTCTTTAAAGTGAAAATGTGATACTTACCTTCAACTCCCTTTGAGTAATAGTTACAACCCCTAATTTTTTAAATGAGAAGTATAGGCTTGTGATATATCGTTTTAAAGCTCTCTTTATTCTCTATCCAAAAATGTTATTGTTTTTAAATTTATTGCAAAAATTAACATAAAAAAAATAAAATAACTGATAATCGAAATTTGTTACAGTACACTCAATATGTAATATTTAATTGTTCATAACGTAAAAAATATGAATGTCAATGAAGTAAATGTTCAAAATGCTCACCGCGAACGTCTTGGCAACATCCTAATCTTGAATAAAAATGTCTTCCAACGTTAATTAACATAACAGGCGTGACCGATCTAATCGCAAGCATTATTCGTTCTCTTAAGTCATCTAGATCACATGGTTTTTCTCACCAAGTCAAATGGCGCGATCAATCATTTTTAAGTTGCCCCGGAGCGCCACGGCAAATAATAATATCCATCCCTTTCCAGACACAAGTCACTCAGTCGATTTCATGTGTTGAAATTCACTCGTAATGAGGTGAATTATTATTATCCAATTCTAAAACCAAAAACCTAAAGAATGATCCAGAATCCTATAGACCAATCTCCATAGCGGATGTTAAATAAAAAATATTAGATTATGACTAAAATTAATTTTTTTCTAATAGTAGAAGTCCTTATTTATCTAATAGTGAACTTTAAACTATACCTTACCGTGCAAATTTTTGAGAATTTTTTTTTTTTTTAAATATGTGTGTTTGTACAGTGTCTTACGAGAAAGTAAGACTTCAACAACAATTTTCGAATTATAATTAATTTTACTATTATTTATTGATAGAAAAAAACTATAAATAAGGTTTTTGAAATATTTAGGTTCTGTTTTTTTTACAATAAAATATATAGGTTACCGTGGAATTTATTGAGAAATTAATATTAGAAAATCACAAAAAATTTTCAACTAGGTTACTTCAAAATTTTTTTTAATATTAATTTCTCAATAAATTCCAAGGTAACCTATATATTTTATTGTAAAAAACAAAACCTAAATATTTCAAAAACACTATTTTTAGTTTTTTTCTACTCCATCTAATCAATAAATAATAATATAATTCGAGAATTGTTGTTGAGGTCTTATTTTCTCGTAAGACACTGTACAAATACTCACATTTTTAAAAAAAAATTCTCAAAAATTTGCACGGCAAGGTATAGTTAAAAGTTCAACATTAGATAAATTAGATAAATAAAAAAAAATAAATTTTAGTCATAATCTAATATTTTTTATTTAACATTGGTGGCGAAAGGGGTGGCGAAAGGACCTCCTTTAACTTATCTAAGGATGAAAAACTTCATAAACTAAGATTATTCTCTACTCCCCCTTAGAGTCTAATTATTTAGTTACACTGGTGTTAACATATAACATCAAACCTTTTTATAAACTGCTTTTATCTAACGTCATTGAAGCAACTCAGAAGGATTGATTGTCTGGAGTCTTCTTATTAGATTGGCATTGTTGAAGAGCTGGTTAACCTCATCGTTACCTTGTTGGAGCAGTTGTTGATGACCACTGGCAATTTTTTTATTGTATTTTCAACAGTCTCCACTTTAAAGTCCCTGTCAACGTCAGTATTGCGACAGTACCAGGGTTCATTGACGATGTTCTTTAATACTTTATTGACGCAATTTTTTCAAATAAAAAAAAGATATTACAGAAAATGAAAAAATATACGAAATTAAATCAAATTTAAATATTCCTGATTTAATGTCAGATATTTAAGTATTTCTATAATTTTATAAAATATCTTTATAATAATTGTAAAACAAAAAACAAAATAAAAGAAAATCCATGGCACAACAAACGCAAGTGACCATTTCCATCCTGAAAACAAGTTCTCCCTTGTCTACGACAGCAACAGGCATATAAATATGAAAGAGGCAAATAGCAGATATACGAGGTCTGATCAAAAAATAACCGTTATTTTCAAATTTCGTGAGTTACGTATGTTCGATTTTCGCATTTTTTTTCTGTTATGTTGGTACACATATCTGTTATGTACCTTGGCAATATTAGCCATTTTGCATTGTCAGTTTGTTTTTGACAGATAAAAAGGTTAGTCGTGTTTTGGTGTGCTCTTCGATTTTTTACTATTTGAAAAAATGGATCAAAGAAACTATATTAACTTTTGTGTAAAAAATAAAATTAAATACGCAAGGACATTTGAAATGTTGACTGTGGCGTTTTGCGAGTCTACTATGAGCAGAACACAAGTTCAATTGTGGTATAACCGGTTTAAGGAAGGCCGAGAAGATGTCAATGACGATGCTCGTCCTGGTCGCCCGAGCACGTCAAAAACCGACGAAAACATTGAAGCAGTGAAGAAAATGATTTTGGATAATCGTCGAATCACTATCAGAGAGGTTGCTGATGATGTTGGAATATCGTTTGGCTCATGCCAAGCAATTTTTACGGATGTTTTAGGCATGAAACGTGCGGCAGCGAAGATTGTTCCAAAATTGCTAAATTTTGAGCAAAAACAACGTTGCATGGACATCGCTCTGGAGCTGTTGAACATCGTCAACGACGATCCAGATTTCCTCAAAAAGGTCATAACTGGTGACGAATCATGGGTGTATGGCTATGACATTGAAACCAAAGCCCAATCATCCCAATGGAAGCGTCCAGAAGAGCCAAGAAGACCGAAAAAAGCACGTCAAGTTCGGTCAAATGTGAAGGTTTTGTTCAATGTTTTCTTCGACTGCAATGGCGTGGTGCATCATAAATTCTTGCCACAAGATCGTACGGTCAATAAAAAATACTACCTTGAAGTTATGCGCCATTTGCGCGAAGCAATTCGTCAGAAACGCTCAGAATTGTGGAAAAAACAATCATGGATTTTGCACCAGCTCACACATCGATGCTTGTGCGTGAG